GCAGGAAAAGAGAGATGCTGAGGGACTCCAGAGCTTGGTCCAGCAGGTGGATGAGGCTCTGGGACAGGACTTTGACCTGCGCTGCTCCAGCCCGCACGCTGCCTTTTATGGGGTCTCGGACAAGAACTTGCGGCGAAAGAAAGCCCAGTTTCAGTACCTTCTCAATCACCGCCCGCAGATCCTCTCTCCGGTGCTGCCTTTCAGCTGCCGGGACCGTTGCCAGGTGCGTCGCCTGCGGGACAAGCTCCTTTCAGTGGCTGAGCACCGGGATATCTTCCCAAATCTGCACCGGGTGTTGCCCAAATCCTGGCAAGTGCTGGAGGAGCTGCACTTCCAGCCGCAAGCTCAGCAGCTGTGGCTTAGCTGGTGGGACTCTGCCCGGCTGGGCTTGCAGGCGGGCCTGACAGAGGATAGGCTCCAGAGCGCCCTGTCCTACCTGCACGAGAGTGGGAAGCTGCTCTACTTTGAGGAGCACCTCACCTTGCGGGAGTATGTGTTCCACAACCTGCCACGGCTCATTGACATCCTCAACGTCTTCTGCCAGCGGGATGCCACTGTACTGCTCCAGAAACTGCTCAGCGACGCCCACATTGACAAACTGAGGGCCACTCAGCTCCACCATTACGTAGAGGGCTTCTTGCTGCACGGCCTCCTCCCTGCCCATGTTATCCGTCTCCTTCTTAAGCCCCACATCCAGAGCCGGGAGGATCTGCAGCTCATCCTGGAGCTTCTGGAGAAGATGGGGCTCTGTTACTGTGTCAACAAACCCAAATGCAAGCCCCTAAATGGGGCGGCTGCTTGGTACAAGTTTCCCTGCTACGTGAAAAATGAGGTGCCCCATGCGGAGGCGTGGATCAACGGCGCCAATCTGAGCGGACAGTCCTTCGTGGTCGAGCAGCTGCAGATTGAATATAGCTTTCCATTCATTTTCCCACCCGGCTTGTTTGCACGCTACAGTGTCCAGATTAACAGCCACGTGGTTCAGCGGTCAGATGGCAAATACCAGATCTATGCCTACCGGGGAAAGGTGCCCGTGGTGGTGAGTTACCGGCCTGCCAGGGGAACTCTGCAGCCAGATACTCTGTCTATTGCTAGTCATGCGTCCCTACCAAATATCTGGACAGCTTGGCAAGCTATTACCCCTTTAGTGGAAGAACTGAATGTCCTGCTCCAGGAATGGCCGGGCCTGTACTACACTGTGCACGTCCTCTGTTCAAAGTGCCTTAAAAGAGGGTCACCCAACCCACACACTTTTCCAGGTAAGGCACAGCCCAGCTTGCCTTTCATCTCCTCTGGGGCTTTGCCCCTTCCAGAAGGGAGTTTTCCGGTGTTAATCTTAGAATCTTAGCTCTGTCTCCTTCCCCCCCGCCTTTCCTTTTTTTTTTTTTTTTTTTTTTTTTTTTTTTTTTTTTCCTTTCTCTCCTCTGCTCTAACTCCCTTCCCTGGTGTCTTGAGTCATGAGAGAAAATATTAGGGTAGCTCCAAGGAGACAGGCTTAAAATAACCCTATTTTGAGATGAGGGGGGTGTTACATGCCCCTTTGTCTGTGCCTTTTCTTTCAGCTTTTTGGGTTTTGGCCCTGAGCATTGGCAATGCCATTGTTGAAAAGGCCCTGACCTGTCCTTTTCCTTGTTTTGATTCCTTTGAATGGCACTGCGGTTTTGGGTTTTTTTTTTTCCTAATTCCAGTTACCCTGCAGCTCCCGCTTCCTTGGGGCTATTTGTAAACATGGGTAGAGATGCCTAAAAGACCACAGGTGTTCCCCGTCCCCCCATTCAACCCTCCACCCCCAAAACCTGGCCTGTGCGGCAGCCTCTCTGAATGCAGGAAAGCTCCTGCTCGTAGACAATGGGTGTGCTGGTCTCCATAGCCCTGTATAAAAAGCACTGTCTCTTATCTAAGCCCTGTCTCTCTAGCAGGAAGCATTCCTCCCTGAAGAGAGAGGGATACTCCATCTTCTTTGTTTAAGTGGCTCACCTAGAAGTGATTCCCAGACTGTGCCTTTTGGAGCTATTTTTGAGAGCAATTATTTTCCTTCTTCTCCCCCCCTTCATCTAATGAAAAAAGCATAATCTCTCTCCTCTGGAATGTGACTGGTTGTGGTGGTTTTTAAAGCTGTCACCTCTAAAGTCGTGATTTTCATTGGTGGTGTTTTCCAGCAGCATCTGTTTTACTTTGTATGTGTGCAGGTATTGCCTCCTAACCTGTGTCCTCCCTCCTCTGCTGGATGGGTTTGACCTGTGGCTTGGGGGGGCATGGGAAAGGTGCTTTGGTGTGTAAATCTGCATGAAATCAAAACGCACTCTGTGCTATAAGCAGCAGTCTAGAAATGTGCATTTTTTACGCACACACGCCCGTGTTGGAACATTATTTACAGGTAGAGCCTGAAATGCTGGGGGAACTGGAGTATGATTTGAGTTAGAGCAAGCAGTGGTGCTGAATTGGTTCATAGGCAAATGTGAATAATAAGGTGTGTTTTGGGGGGGCTGTTTGGAGGTTGTTTTTTTTTTCTTTTTTCCTCTGGACCTTCAGAATAAGGAGATGCTGTTTGCTCCTCTTCCTGCGTCCTGGCTCTGTCAATTTTATCTCCCTCTAACTGTGCTAGCTTATGTAAGAGCCATGGGACTGGGGGTGGGGGGGGGGGGGGGGAACCACGGCGGGGGATTCGGAGTGGTATCCGCATGCTGGGTCTTGCCACTGACATGGTGCTTGGGGCAACGTGATCTGCTTTCCAAAAAAACTCCCCAAAACTAAACACAAAAAAAAAAATCTCAAACCCACCGAACCCCTGAAAAAATAGAAAATCAACAAACCAACAAAACAAAAAACCCCACCAAAATTAGCCAAGACAGCAAACTGTATGTGCAGGTGTGATGGGTGGCTATTGAAGGTTTAACTTGTGAGTGATTTGGGTCTGCAGTCGCATATCTCCTTTTTTTCTTCTTTTTGGTGAATGTTTTGTGGCTGACCCTCCCCCCCCCCGAGTAGATGATGCTTTAAAAGTGACATGTGAAGAGGAGCCAAGCTGTCTGCAGGTGATTGGCATCTTTGCTGACTGGTGACAAGTCAGAGCAGGTCTGGAAGCGTAAGGGGGGGCATTGAAATCGAAGAGCCTTTTGCTTTGGATTTGGCTGTGCCATGTATGTTTCCTTAGAGGCAGGAAAGGATTGCTCTCACCTGGGAGCCAGGCTGGGTGTGCTGGGAAGGTGAGGCACAGGTAAGCAGTGCATCGTTGGGCATGGGAGGAGCAGGGGCTCGTGTGCCAGGCCTCTGAATGTCACCTGGGTGATGCTGCCTGTGAAAAGGGGGTTGCAGCATTTCCAAACCTCTCCCTGGGCCTTGCTGCCGGGGTCACAGGGCTTAGCATCCCAAGTGGCCCTGCCTTGTGGCAGGGGGAGACTCTCTTAACATGAATACCGTGCAAGTCTAGGTGGGGGAAGAGCATGTTGAGAAGACATACGTGTTTCAAAGGCAGGGCTGATCTGTGGAAGCGATGGAAGAGTGACTAAAGGCTGCAATTAATGGAGAAGCCTGCTTATCTTCTTAGATGATGCTTCAATCTAGCCAAGCTATGACCTGGGTTGTACGAAAAATGTGAACTGTCATTTGGATTGGGGAGGGCTGTATGTCCACATTTAATCTAAAATACTCTTTGCTGTGTATCTGCTCTGTGAAAGAAAAGACTGTTTAGGAGTCCCTAAATGGCAATTGTGAAGCTGAACACTTCTTTCTCTCCTGATTTTGTTGATCAGGAGGTGTGAATGTTTAAAGTTGTGCTGCCGAGTTTGCTCTTGTGCAAGTGAATCGTGGTTGGCGTAATTTTTAACAGGGTGTAGGAAAGAGATGGGTCTAATGTTATGAAAATGTGTAGCGAGGGAGATGTCAGTTTCTTTCCAAACTGTTCCAGCGGAAATCCCTGGCAATTACAATGCTGCTAATTCTTAAATAGGGCTGTGGTCTTTTTAGGACTGCACTGAAGAACTGCTTTGCAGCCTGTTGACCTTAATAAGGGAAATACTTCTGTGGAGACACTGCCAAATTTGTGCTCAAAAATGGAAGTGCAGTCTGGCTGTCTGTCTGGTTGCACAATCTGTGTCGTCATTTGTGAAACTGATGGTGCATTCTTTGGTCATCCAAAATTTTCATTGGAATCCCCTTCAAAGAGGGAACTTGGTTGTTCATCAAATCTTGCTTTTCCTCTCCTTCCCTTCCCTCTCAGGGTTCTGTGCACACATGCTCTATAACTTCCACTGATAATACACGCAGAAATTCTCTAAGAACAAGGTAGTGTTCCAGAACACTACTAGAACAAGTGCATAGAAACAGTTAATAAGAATAGAGATTCTAGATTCAGTCTTCTGAGGGTTTATTGCAAACAAACAGTGAATAAGTGATATAAAAATGGCTTGATAGGGTCCTTTTAAGGAAGTTTTTGTGTTTGAAACAGTTTTGTAGCTGGGTGAAATAGTAACTGAATTGGCATCTGAGCTGGAATCTGTGTGCTTTTAGGCTGCAGTCATCTGCTCGGTGGTTGATAAGTCGTGTGTTGATTTTTTTTCTTTTTTTTTTTTCTTTTACATTTGCACTATATATAAGTAAAAATAACCGTTCTAGGCTAAGAAAGGCATATCCCTGCATGGAGTAACCGACAAGAATGGTCCACCACTTCCAAGATGACGAGACCTCAAATGGGTTGTCACAGGCATTGTGAAATGCTGTGGTTTGTTTTTTGTTTTTTTTTTTTTATGTGATGTTCTTTCAGCCCCTGGGCTGAAGGGCTTTTAGGTTGTTCATGTCCCATAAGCTATTAAGTGACTTGGGATTGGAGGGGTGGGGGTTGTTTGCTGTCTGTCTGATAGTAGGCACCTCTGCTTTGTTTGGAAAAATGTGACTTGATTTTTCCAAGCTTGCCTTCATGTGCACCTGCTGACTGCTCTGCTGTGCTCTCCTCTTGTTCTGTGCTAGGCTGGGTCTGGGCCATCCCAGGCTCTTCCTGGCTGTGGTCTGCACAAGGTATCCTGATGTCTGATGTGTGATCCTTTTGGTGTTCAGGGTGGGGGAGATTGTGTTTGACCAATGGTTTTCCTTTATTCCTGCCTGTGAAGTTGCCTGTGTGAACGCAGATGTAAGAAAGCCAGGGGCTTTCCATTTGTCCATTGCAGAAAATGGGCAAAATGCTGTCACAAGGAAGACGAGATGATCTGTGTTTTCACAGACTAAAAAATTTGACAACAGAAAGCCATGGGCAAAGATACTGTGTGTCAGCAGCCTCTCTCCAAAAGGACCCTGCAAAGCCATTGGGGACCTTTGAGAGATGTTGGAGGACTGGCAAGAGGTCTCCTGTGGAGAGGAAGTACACATCTCCCGCCTGCCTTGCTGCCCCCTTCCTCAGGTATCAGAACAGGGAGGAGATCACGAGCCTCCTCTCTGCCCATCTCCCACACCCAAGGTGAGCAGAAGTAGGCATTATATGCCAGTCACCTTCAGGGGTACAGATGGAGGTATCGTAGCGTAGCTCTCCTGTGAGACTGTCGTGGCCAGAGTAGGGCTAATTCTAGGCCACCTTATTCACAAGATTCAGAATAAACCATGCTCGCCATCCCTGCGTTGGAGTCAAAATCAAGTATGAATGCCCTTGGCGGCTGGGATGGAGTCAGGAGATGGAGAGGTGGAAGATCCCATGATGTGTCATGCTGTTGAGACGCGTGCAAGGTGAGGAGGGTGCAGGTGGGACTTGTTTTGTCAGAAGGGCTCAGAAGTTGCTCCAAAATCTGAGCTGCCTCTCAATGAAAGGCATCTAATTATCAGGTATCTAATTGTTCTTTGTAATGAAATTGTAAGCAGCTGGGGGATTTTTTTGCGCAGACAATTGCATTAGAGCAAAGCCTGCTTGTTACAGAGCCTGATGCTAGCATTTGTCAGCCTTTTATTTTCCCGATTTGAGGGTGGAGTCTTTTTTGCCTGACTTTTCAAAGTAGACGCTGCGGTTGTTTTGGGGCTGTTGTCACGCTCTTGTGAAGGCTGTGGCTTCAGTGGAGTACTGTGGTGTAATCTGAGACAGCGGGGCAAGACTTCAGCACAGCGTGAGCACTGGATGGTGCCCACAGATCTGGGTGGCAGGAGAAAGCTGAGCGAGGCCCTGTGATTCAGGAGGAGAAATTAATAGATCAGCTGCTGAACTTGGGGAAGCTGGTGCTATTCTATAGCTCTAGCACTAATTATTTACCAGTAAGAGCTGATTTCTGTGCTGCTGGAGTGGCAACCTTCAGCAGTATGACTTGCTGTACGTAATGGTGTAGGAACACAATCTATTTACCAGCTGGGATTCTTAGGGATTTCCTTTGTGTTAAGCTGTGTGGTGCATGGTGAGTGTTTGAGGTCCTCTTGCTTGGTAGCTGTGGTGGGGCATCCTCTAATTTAAACAACGCATTCAGGAAAGAGACAGCAAACATTTCATGATCTTGGAGGAGGCAGAGAAATTTCCAGAGGAAGAGTGTGGTTTGCAGCATGGATGGCTGCCGTGGGACCATGCCTGGTGGCTACTAGAGTAGCCAGTGCAGAGCTGGTCTTGTGCTTGATGATC